GGTTTAGCATTCTAAAATGAAAACAAGTTCACAGTACTGTGGAAACATTGCTGCACCTCTACCGATTGACAGACTGCTGTGACGGCAACTTGTCAGTCACATAAAGCATTTCCTATTTTGTCAACAAATTTACTCTCAATGGCAACGTAATTTAAATCACATTGTGTTAATGAAGACTCGAAACTAGTGATTGAGGCCATAAACTCATTAGGGAATGTTTACAACAGTGATGACAAGCAAACAACATGAATAAAACGCATCTTCTAATCATTTTAGTGACTATAGCATTATTCAACTTGTTTTATGGAACTGTACAGACACTGCAGCCCTTGGTTAAGATTAATGTAAGATCGTGGTCTGTTTTAATACAGAAAAGAGAGATTTGTCTCTAAACGATAGCCCCATTTTTCCCTTACCTTTACCCAAGTGCCAGGTCTCTGGTATGAGAGTCAAGTGCTGGGTACACCCACTGTCTACCACAACCACCTTCTTGACTCTGAGGCATTTAAAATGTGGTGTTTCACTCATTCAAAACAAAACGTTGCCTCTGGATGTAATTGAGTCCCTGGCTATGTTTCACCTAGACATAATAAGGAGGCTGTTTAGCTGTAGTAGATAGTGAATGGCTCAGCAGTTAAGGCTTCGGGCTACTAATTGGAAGGATGGGGGTCTTAGCACATTTCCATATGGTGTCATATGCTAGAAAACCCATCATGAGTGAAATAAGCAAACTGCACAGGACTGGTCAAGTGACTGTCTCAGAAAAACAGACTCAGACTTCCAGGGTCTTCAACATAACAAACATAAGGAACCAATCCTGTCAACCTGCAGGGTGGAGCTTTCTGTATCATTATTCCTCTTTAGAAGCAGCTTCCAGTTTAACCATGTTTTGCGGCGTTACTGCAATATTAGTTTTACAGTGCATGGATTTATGGATTTAATAAATGACCAGAGGGGACTTTGAGGTCATTAAAATTAATTACACATCTAAATACTCAGTCACCTACGCACATACTGTGTGATCTTGGTTTGTCTGAAGCATAAATTGGCAGATGTGAGATAAGCTTGGTAAAATCTCCGGTCGTCTGTCCAAAGTTCTAGATCACACAGTGGGACATGTCCACAGAAGTTGTCATAGTGTGGCTGCTGCTACGAAACATGTCTACAAACGAACTAATCAGAATACTCGAGTCATTGATGTAGAATACAATGTCATATATACTATTTCTGAACTAAGCACATTTCTCAGTTGTTGTTTTTTTAAATGCTTTTTTACCATTTTGATTCCATTCCTGTCATCTTCCAGCTCTGCCACTCTCCCTGTCACCTTTAAATGTCTGGAGGAAAACAACAGAATTGATAAGCGGATCACGCGTTTCGTGCTGCCTGTGGGTGCTACCATCAACATGGATGGAACAGCCCTGTATGAGGCGCTAGCAGCCATCTTTATCGCCCAGGTCAACAACATGGAGATGAACTTTGGTCAGATCATCACCATCAGGTAAAAGTTAACAGAAATAGTCAAAACTTATCCTGTAAAAATGAAATAATCCCCACAGTGACACACTTTGTCTCATCTTTGGGTTTGTCCTTAATTAAGTATAACTGCAACTGCAGCCAGTATTGGAGCTGCTGGCATCCCTCAGGCAGGCCTGGTCACCATGGTGATAGTGCTGACCTCTGTCGGACTTCCTACTGATGACATCACTCTCATCATCGCAGTTGACTGGTTTCTGTGAGTAGCTTCCTGTATGGTGAAAATGTGTACAAAAATCCAATACAACATCCAATCACATTCAGTGGGTTGCATGGTGTTCTGTCAAGTGCTGTAACTGTACATGAATCATCTCTGTCATTTTAAAGGTCAAAAGCAGCTCCACATCTACTACCACCTAGTGACACACTTCTCCCTTTTCCCTGGAGTCTTGTTCTACATCTTCCCTTTTGTATTGAATATTTTTGCAATGAGTTTTAACATAGAAACATAATTAGGTTTCCCAAATTAATCATTTCAATTAGAATACCCTTCCCAGAAATTACTCAGCTAACTGGGGTAATAAGAAAAAACCCTTCTCGCCTTTGACTAGCATGGACGTCTTGATTCATGAGCACTTTCCACACTGAACAGAAGAAAGTGTAGTGTCTCACGTCTAAAGGCCTAGATCCTCTAAAAGTGTTTTAAGAGACAAGAACATCAGACTGAATGGTCGTAGTAAATAGTACTTAAAGAGTGGCGTTTTAAATGTAGCAAGGTTCGACAAAATGCTTTACAATGTGCAACACATTCACACATCAATGATGATAGAGCTGCCATGCAAGGTTATTACCTACCAAAAGCAACCTGGGGGTTCAGTGTCTTGCCCACGAACACTTTGGCACATGTAGGGGTCGGGGTTTAATCTAATTCTAACCAATCACCAGTTCTCATAAATAAACATTGGTCTGACTCAAAGGACGTAGTTTGTAGGTATAAGTCTGCCATTTGCTGCACAAATCATGTGGCTTTCTTCTCCCCTTCTGCCATCGGCATGTTATCAAAATCCCATTTACGAATGAGAAACAACAACCTCTGAGCAGCAACCTACATCCTGAAAAGGTTTGAATTGTACAACAAGGCAGGCTCCTAGTTTTTTGGTTTATTTTGTCAATTATCCAAATTTAATGACAGTGCTCGCCTGCCTGCATGTGAATGTTCCACTAAAACAATTTCCCTGTCACTGTTTTAACTGAACTGCAAGGTGGCTCGGTGGTTACCATCGTTGCCTTGCAGGTCGCCAGTTCTCGTTCCGGTGAGGACACCGGGATCTTTCTGCGTAGAGTTTATATGTTCTCCCAGTGCAGCGTGGGTTCTCTCCGGGTTCTCCGGCTTCCTCCTACACAGTACAAAAAACATGTTGAGGTTAATTGGTGATTCTAAATTGTCCGTAGGTGTGAATGTGAGTGTGCTTGGTTGTCTGTCTCTAAGTGTGGCCCTGTGATAGACTGGTGACCTGTCCAGGGTGTCTCCTGCCTTCACCCTAAGTCAGCTGGGATAGACTCCAGCCCCCCCACGACCCTAGTGAGGATTCAGCGGTGTATAGATAATGGATGGATGTTTTAAGTGAACACTGTCACAGCATCCTGTCTTTGGCTTTACTGTGAAGATTTTGACTTGTTTAAAGAAATATAGACATGCCAGAGTTTATTCCCCCCTATAGGGGAGTGATACTGAAGTGCAATGAATACTAGTCAATCAGAGGCAAGTAGGAAGAGTCACACCAAACAAAATAGACTTGCAGCAAACATCTACATGATAGCCTATGCCTACTGAAAATTGAGTAGGTTTTGTTTGTTTGACTATGACTTAACCTCATTTCCACTGCATACAACAAACTCCTTAAAAACATCAACATCAAAAGTGTCAAAAACACTACTGTCACAACTAGACTTCCTGCTTTACCACTTACACATTTACCCTTAATCTCCATTTCTTGCCGGGGAGCAGGGACCGTCTGCGCACCACCACCAATGTTTTGGGGGATTCGATCGGAGCTGGCATTGTGGAGTTCCTGTCTCGACACGAGCTCCGCAGCAAAGACGTGGAGATGGGAAACTCTGTGTTGGAGGAGAAGGAGAGGAAGAAACCTTACAAGCTCATCTCCCAGGATAGTGATTTTGAAAATGACAAACGTGCTCACAGTGAATCGAACATGTAGCTCAACCCTCAGCTTTACCTACATCTGTGAACACATACAAATATTTACAGCTGGTTCTGTTTTTGGGAATAGGAACCTAAATGTGAAATATTGTTGTTAACCATAATTTTACTGTAATTATTTCACACTTTGGCTTTATTAACATTCCTTTACTGTCATGTTTCAGAGGTGATGGCTTTCTTATAATCATCTTTTAATCCAATTGACAAAGATCATGTTCTTTAAAACAAATGCATCAGTCATATATTTCAGATAGGACTGGTAGTTTCTGTTTTTTATGTTTACTAATTTAATGACCATTTTAACTTCACTCATATAGAGGCTGAAGTGAAGGTAGGTAACAGGTGATGCTGGGTAGATGATTTAAAAAACTAAAAGAAAGAAAAAACTGCAGAATGTCAAAGGCCACCAAGTAGGAACTAAAAGTGGACTGCTCATCATGGATATCTTAAGAAAAATAGACTCAAACTTTAATCATTTTGTCACCAAGACATGATTTACTCAATTTACATTCAAATTTTATCAACAAAGTTATATTTCTATATCTTCCCAACATTAGCTGGTTAATTACTGATTATGCGATTAGTATTAGACCTTGTGTGATTTTTATGTTTCAGTGGTACAGACTCAGACTCTTTCTGACACACCTAGGACTGCCAATACACATGTGTGTGCGCCTTCATATTTTGACATGTGAGATTTTTTTCTACCAACTGCTCTTTCACTGTAGACATGAGCCGAGTGAATATGTTGGATGATTAATATGTGTTAAAGTCTGTGCATTCATTATGAAGGTGTGAAACGGATATTGAATATTGAAATTCAACAACTTTTTTTGTGTAAACAACTGTGTTAGTTTCTTTTATTCAGTGAAATAAACAGAAAAACGCCTTTTCTGTCTGTCTAGTTTTGTGTAAGATGTCAGAGTATGCAGTTTTTTTCTCCTTTATAGCTTTTTTGACCTGAAAGCCCCATCGTAAGTATCATAACATTGATTTTGCGTGCTGGTCAATCAAATAAATTGCTGTGGGTTACAGAATACACAGGGCACACACTGAGGGTGGTATTGTTCATATAACAGAGCATTACCATGGGCGGATAGTGTAAAGGTTAGGCATATAAGCTGCAGCTAGGACTGCGGAAATGCAGATGATAAAGTTAATATATGAACTATGTCCTCCATTATTCCAACAACTGCTGTCAAGATACTCGTTAACAAGCTGAAGCATGAAGTGGAATGGAACAAAAGTCTTCAATAATTCATTATTCTTCTCACGGATCCAAACTAACAGTGAATCTACTAACAAGTATTGTGTGGCATCCAAAACCCTTTCCAACTACACAAAAAGAACAAAAACAAAAACAGAAGACATGAGCGAGCGACACTAACTCCAGCAGTGGTTCCTACAGCTCAGGCTGCAAGACTGATCTTATCACTGTGCAATTATTGTGTTTCTAACAGCATTTCACTCTGTGAAATTGTATTTAAAGGACCCACATCATGCACATTTACTGATGTAATTCATAATTTTATCGGGGGTTTAACAGAGGATAGCTGCATGCTTCAATATTTAAGAAACAAACATATTACTCTTACTGAACATTGCTGCATCACATCTCTGTCCGAAACACAACATTTTAGCTCCTGGGCCAGTCTGTGTCAGTTCAGACAGAATTCTGGAAAAATGTTGCTGCACTGTCTTTGTTTGGTGGTAACTGGTGGCTGGATTTACCACTGACAAGGATGAAGAGGAGCAGACTGTGAGGGCAAAGTTTATGCACCCAAGTGGGTCAGCTGCCTCGTTCAGGTGTTTTCCATCTGATGATGTTTCAGTTGGGTGCCAGTTGTTCTGTCTGTTCCATCACCATGTAGCTCCCACTAGAATGAAACAATGCAAACTTGACATTTAAACCAACAGAGACACTAAAATGACTTTTGAGTTTCCTTTTGAGTTTGCATTCTTTTCTTTTGTTTGTTTTGCACTTTCTATGATGTGTTTTAATTTAGAGAGAGTGATTTATTCTATGTGTTAATTTATCATCCATTTTTATGCTCAGTGTTTATTTCAAGTCAAGTAACATTCAGTAAAACAGGCCTCATATGTTGGTAAATATCAACATTAAGACAACAGGGAAGCAACTATTAATGTTTCGCATAAAATATATTTAATATATGTATATAGATATACATGTTTTGTGGCCATATGAGTGAGTCCACATCACCATTTTGGCATGTTGAAATAGCAGAAAACAGGAACCTTGGCTTGCCTTACTGCCACACACTTTACTGATGTTAGAGATGTGAAAAGTTGATGAAATGTCAACCAAAGACTGTGTTTTTAGTAGTAAATATGGATTCATCCCCTCTGAGGGCCACAATACCAACCTGGTTTGAAAATGTTTCACTATTAGTGCATGACATTAGCCATTAAAACCTAATATGTCACAGCGGTAATCACAATGTTGGCTACAGCCACAGCTGAGGATGCACTAACTTTCTCTGTAGCCACAACTGTATGAGCTGCGGTCTTCTATGACGTCGTGTAGCCTATATCCTGCTGCTGGTTGTGACCACAAAGAGTCATCAACATTCAGTGATAGATGCTCAGATACTAATCTATGCCACTGCATTAAGAGAGAAAAGCAGAGGAGCTTGTTCAGCAGCTGTCTCACTGACTGCTGCAGGGATGCACTATATCTGCCGGATCGGGATGACAGCTGCCACCGTGACTGGGGGCTGTTGGCTGACTGCAAGGCTTGTTAAAATGAGTGATGAGTAGTAAATGCATTAGTATCACATTATCCCTTTTCAACTGGCAGTGGAATAATATGTATTGGAACAACGCACAAACTGCTTGTCTGCATCAGAGGGAATGCAAAAGTATTGCAAGAAAACACAAAAGTTATTGTGAGATAATGCAAAAGTTTTGAAAGTCAGGCAGATATCAAAAAAAGAAAAAGAAAAAAAAAACCCTTATGGGACAAAACAGCCAGTAAGAGATGTGCAAAGATTCCCAAACAACCCAAACACTAAATACACTAAACAGCGATAGAATAATTAAACCACCACTGCTGAGATTGGCTTCCTATACGTTTTGTTTTTACAACACATGTCAGTCTGCCGCAGAATCTAAAATCTCCCAGGAAAATGAAGGCAGCTCGTTAATGATAGCTGGTTAACATTACATTTTAAAGGGGAGATAACATGGCGATAATATATTCTTTTTGTTGTTGTTTGCCTTCCCTTGTGTTTCTAGTCTGTGTTTTAAACATGTCACAGCGACTGCTGTGATGGCTGTACAGAGTTTTTTTTTTCCCCCTGGTTTGTGAGTCTTTCTCATCCTCCTCCCTCTGCTCTGTCCCTGCTGTGGATCAGTCACTCCTCTGGCTGTCAGTCATTAAGCCTACCTGATGCAGATCCACAGATCACCCTACACAATACCAAGACAACAGTTCCCAAGTCAAACTTTGGCAGATTGTCAGCTAACCATGCCTGGTGGTGTGTCGGCCGATTCTTCCTTCTGTTGTTTGCTTGAGTTTTGTTTCTTGCCACTAAGTTCTGCATGTGCTTCCCTTACTCAAACCTACAGCTCCCCCAGCCAGCCAGCTCCCACACCCATTACCCTGACACATTACTCTAGCTTTCCATGAACCTTAACCTTTACGTTAGCCTCAGTGCTTTTGGTTCCATACAAAGCACAACCATGACAGTATGTTGCTCACTTTGTCCAGCACACAGTGTCACCTCGGATTCCTCAAAGGATGAGAGAAACTTTGAATGAACTCAGATTTACATCAACCCACCACCTTTAACTGTTCCCAAGTCCCAATCTGCCCCTGTGTATTTAAACCTGCAATTCTGGCCTTTGTTCTTGGCCAGAATGTCCTACAGTGTGTTATCATGGTACAGTGCTGCCCGTTTTATTTGACTGTTTATTATTATACCCTCGGTCCAGGATGGAATTATGACGATATCCTGGATATTCTAATGAGCGGGCTTCATGATTAGTGTGTCGAAGTGTCCACAACGATAGAGTACTGAGAAAATTATGTCTGTGTGACAACAAACGGGGGTTTGTAAAGCTAAAATGGGAATGTTTTCACAAAGTCAAATGGACAGTTTCTTTGAAGATCAAGAAATGTTTATTCAAAAGGAGCTTTATGGTTTTGCTTCAGTGAAATTTCACCGTTGTCGGTACGAAAAGCCACCCCATCAAAAAAAGTTATTTCCTTTAATTAGAAGGTATACAGAAGATTCACTTGTCATGATTAAATTTTGATAAAGCTGATAGAGCTGTTCAGGATCACTTGATTTGTCCCTTAGTTATGCCGCTATGTGTTTAGACTGCTAGGGGATTCCCATGATGTACTGGGCTTCTGTCCTCTACTCTCCTTTCTTCCATACAGTTATATAACACCATTACATATCACTAACTCTGTGTTTCCCCCGAGGTCCTGTGTTTGTTCTCTATGCAGATGATCTGGAGCTTCATATTGAGCTTTTGATCGCCAATAGTATGTGTCTGCAGAGCTGGAGGCAGCACTCTCTGGGCCGCATGCTTCTTCTACAGCCGCACATTGAGAGCCTTTTTTTCAAGACCACAGTGTTTAGCACCTCATTTTTCTGTTTCAGGAAGTAGAACTTGCAGCATCTGGAGTAATCATCAGTGAAAGTCACAAAATATTTTGCTCCATCTATAGATTCAGTCTGCATGGGACCACAGACGTCACTATGAATGAGCTTCACTCTGTGTTTGGAATGGATTCCTCCAATTGGCTTGTATGGCTTTTTAGACAGCTTGCCTTCCACACATCCTTCACAGAAGGGAATCTCTGTTTCTGTAGAGAGGTCTACTCCATTCACCAGACCTTTTAGTTCCTTCAGCCTGGTAGTGTGACCCAGGCGCTGGTGCCGTAAACTGACTGCTACTGATGCACTATGACAGACAGGTAAACTTCTTTCAACATTCAGCTGATACAGTCCATCACCTCTTTGTGTTTCCATTCCTTAAAGAGTTCCATTTTTACGCGTATGTAGCAGTGAGACTTCCTGAACTGTGCTGTATTTCCTCCCAATGAGAATAGGTTCCCAGACAGCTTTGGAACAGCACGTCATACATAGTGAGATTTTTTACATCACTTATTTTGAAAACCTTTTTCATGTTGACATTTCCTATTCTAGGGCGTCAACCACCCTGCCATCACAGAGTTTCACACACTGTGTTTTTGTGAATTGCTGATATTCTTGAATAATTTCTTTATCACGTCATGTGCTTTGATGCTCCCAAATCAGTCAACCATTCAGTCTGTTGTGGTCTGCCTGATTAGTGACAAAGGCACTTTCTTTTTCTGCCGCGTCACACATCATGCTTTGAGCCTTGTGGGTCTTCTTTTTGGCTTTATGTTTCCAGTTTGGACAGTCATGTTTAATATGACCTTCTTTCCCACATTTGTAACATCGCCACATGTTTGATCTTTCTGGAGGACCTGGAGTTGTCCTGCAAATTTCCAGGAAATTGTGACGACGTGGCTGATTCCCCACCTGACATAGTAACACTGTAGCTTTCATTAGCATTCACTCGCTTTTGCTCTTCATTTATTAATGCTTGCTGAAAAAACTGCAGTGTCAGCTTGTCAATCTTTGTTTCTAGTGCAGTAGCATAACTTGGTGGCAAACTACCCAAAAGTGTTACAGTTTGGTCTTCTTCTTCAATGACAGCTCCTTTTGCTGATAGCTGATCAGTCAGCTCCTTCATTTGTTTCAAATGTTCAGTTAAACGATCTCCTTCCTTCATTTCACATCGGAAATATTTTTTCTTTAGGAATAGTTTATTTGCCAATGTATCTCTCTCAAAATGACCTTTCAGGGTAGTCCACGCTTCTTTGGGAGTCTGGCAGCTTCTATGTCAGGTACAATTGGGGTGTACTTACATTAAGCACTGACATGGGCAATGGCTTCTCTCTCCCTTTGGTAAACTCTGCTTGAGCTTGTACGTCAGCATCTGTGGCTAGTGTGTCCGTCTCTGTTAGCATACCCCATAGTCCTTTAGGTTTTAGCAAGTGCTCCATCTGAAACTTCCACATTGCCCAGTTCTCTGGTCCATGCAGTTTGTCTATAAACAGCTTCTCATCCATTGCGAAATCCACAACACTGTTTACTTCTCACAAAACTTTGTAAGACAGCTTCTTTAGCGTCGATCTGGGCCCATAACCTGTTGTACGTTAGGCTGAAACCTTAATGAAAACGTGTTACAGAGAACAGTGTTAAGTAGAGGAAACAGTGGCACCCATTGGTAAAATTACTGTACTACAACAAAGGTAACCCACAGATCACACATGAGCAAAGAGCACTGCCAAGCAGCTGCTGCCAGGACAGAGCCAGGCTCCAGAAACACCTGAGCTGAGCAGTAGTCCCGCACACACATCTAAAGTGGTAACGCTGCCCCGTAATCAAGCTACAGGTGAATTCAATGAACATAATGAAGGTAAGGGAGTCGACAGAGAGTGACGGGAAGAAAGAGAGAGAAGAGAGTGAACGGAGGAGGGCGAACTTTACCTGCTATATAACGTTCAATGATAAAACAATATAAACAAATGTTAATTTGTTTTATGACGTTAAACAAATGAAACGATTCACAATCACGTCGTGACAGTCTTCCACCACGGCAACAAATGCTTTCTTTAGCATCCAACTCAGCAGGTGACACAAACAGCAGTGACCTGTCGGTGGGTCCTGAGAGCTCTGAACACACTCATACTACTGCTACAGACCACAAAGACTACAGCAGAAGAGTCCATTATTATTTTACCTGTTAATAAGTAAGTTATTTACACGATTTGCCCAAATGCAAGTCTTAGCAACCAAGTTATTATGATCATTGTAATGAGTCGTATTTTGGGTTGAATAAACCTATCAAACCTCAACTTGTTAGTTAGAAAGCATTATTTGGATGGGGAGAAAACAAAATAAAAATAAATTAATTAAATCAAAATTATAGGTACTTGCACATAAAGCAGTACTTTGGCTCAACCTTTAAAATTCTAAATATATTTTGAGAGAAATCGCCCTTTAGTTTTTTGGAGATCATTCATTGTGGTAGGTGGCGCTGTCTTGAAAAAAAAAGGCTCTCAACATGTGGCTGTGGAAGAAGAAGCGGCCCTGTGAGTGCAGCCTCCGGCTCTGCAACACACCCTTCTCTTATGATCTGCAGTTTCTAGCCCCACCCATCTCCAAAATGTTCATGGTTCTGTTTGTATTGCTGCTCTCCATCTGCTATCCCACTTACCCCGCCTCCCACCATCCCCACCCTAACTGGTTGCAGTAACAGTGTGTGTCTGCAGAGCCGGAGGCTGCACTCTTAGGACCCACACTCATAGGAGCGCACCTCTTGTATGGCACCATGTTTAGAGCATTTTTGTTTAGACAACCTACCACAATGGATGATCACTAAAGTGCATGACTTACTGTTTTAAAGGAAGTTTTCACTCAAATACTTATAATTTTAAAGGTTTATTCCAGGACTATTCCACAGAAAGTACCACTTCATGTCCAGGTACCTCTAATATTAAAGGCTTATTCCACCCAAATAATGCTTTTTCACTGACAAGTTAAGGTTTGAAAGGTTTACTATACCCAAAACACAACGTATTACAACAATATTGATAACTTGGTCGCCAAGGTTTGCATTTGGACAAATTGTGTAATTAACATACTTTGTGTCATTCAGGTAAAACATTACTAGAATCATGTGCTGGGGCTTCTGTGGTCTCTGGATCTCAACCAGGACGGTTTAAAAGGTTGGAAAGGGGGGAAACACTGGGACAACTTTGGAGGCAAATATATCTACTTATTTAATACAACACACACACACACACACACACACACACATACACACACAGGCGCGTGCGCAAATTAGTCTTGTGATCACCACTGCTGAATCTCTGATCTCACTACCTCCTAAAAGAGACACAGAGGGTGTTACAGCCCAGCTCTAAGACTGCAACAATAAACAGGAGAGCAGATGAAGTGCCAAAAACATATTTCTATTCTACAAATAAGACAAACGCATGTCAGAGTCAGCAATCAGTCGTGTACGTCTGTGTGGATGTGTGGGTGTGTGCACAAAGCAAAACACAATAGCCCGCATGTATAACAGAAGCAAGCAGGTGGAGTGACAGACAATCAGAGGGAAGGAGAGTGTATTTAACTACATGGACCCAGGTGCAGTCAATCACCTCGATGACGACCTGCCTTGATAGAAATCTGAAAGCGACACAGACAAAAAGCAAGCAAAAACACACCTAGTGGCTCAGAGGGGTCGTCACACAGGGTCAGACATTAAAATGCACAAGTATATAGCTTTGATATATTTGATCAACTGTACATAGTTTACTTTTTTTGCTCTGGTAAAATATATTTTATTTTTCACACTTTTACAAAGCTGAGCAACAGAATAGGCAGCAACTGGTGTTCAATATGGGGAAGGATCTCCCTCATTGTTGTGTGCACCTTTAAAAAAGAGAAGACAGTTGGTCAAAATGTGTTTTTATTTGATCACTAGAACTTGACTATGGACGTACTAAATGTCTCAACATTACAAAACAGTATCACAATGAAAAGACTAACTATGAGAACACATTGTGAAGGAAAATATAGTTTGGACTCGTCACAGGAGGAACAACTGATGACTGAGGTCCATAAAGGTTCTGAGTAAACTATGGCAGAACCAGCAGCTGTAAGAGGAAGGCAGCATTAATAACATCATTAAAACTGTAAAACAGTGAGCACTGAACAAGCATTCAGTCATCATTCAACATGCTTCTATCATCCCATGAAGTATTAAAATACTGTCTGTAATTAATTATCATCAACATTGAGCTGATTAATGTCCCTGACGGTGTTTTACAGTGTAGGGGCTTATTTGTGATGTTTTCCCCGGAGGGAGAGATGCTCAATATCCAGTCATGTGATGTTAGGAGGGAGGAAAACCGGGAGATGGCGACACGCAACAGGTTTCACGGTCCCGAATAAATCCTCAGAAGAAGAGGCAGGAATAAAGGCTGAACGACTCAGAGCATCTGTAGTCAGTGATCCGCTGCTCTGTGTGTCTGCATCATGTCCTCCGTTCTCTCTGGCAACCTCGGCCGGGTGTTGTGCATCATCACCGGGGCCTCCAGAGGCTTTGGCCGGACTGTAGCCAGGGAGATGTCGGTGTTGGTGAAGCCCGGCTCGGTGCTCGTTCTGACGGCTCGCTCCGGGAACGAGCTGCGGACTCTGCAGACGGAGCTGACTGAGTCGGAGGCGGGCATGGCGGGTCTGAGAGTGGAGACTGTGGTGGCAGACATGGCTCAGATGGAGGGACTACAAAACGTCGTCAGAACATCTGAAGAAGCTTTTGGTGAAGGCATAGATCACCTGATGCTGATCAACAACGCCGGTAAGAGCTGTTGGCAGCAGGTTCAGTGAACTCAAGTACATTTACCTCACTTGTTTTTAGTTCTTAAGCCTTCCTTGATTATCTCTGTATTGTACCTTTTTACTGTCAAAGCAACTTGCTGAAAGGTGCTATATAAAGTATATATAAAGTTACTATGTATACTATATAGAAAGTTCTTATTATTGTTATCATTATTATTACTATTATTATTATCATTATTATTATTTTTAATTAAAGGATAACTACTAATATCCTGCTAAAATGCTATTACTGAACTTACATCTCTAATCTGGGACTATGGGAGTATTTTACATGACATTCATGTTGTATAGTGTTGCTATCCCACAGCTGAAAAATTGCATAAAAAAAAAAAAGAAATGGACAGCACTATATCTGTCTCTAATATAGTTTGAGGGGGACTGATCGTAAAGTCTGTGGATTACCTAGACCAGGGGTGTTCAGTCTTGGTCCTGGAGGGCCACGGCCCTGCATGTTTTAGATGTGTCCCTCTTCCAACACACCGGATTCAAATGATCAGGATGTTATCAGGCTTCTGTAGAGTTTGATGATGAGCTGATCATTTGAATCAGGTGTGTTGGAAGATTGAAACATCTAAAACATGCAGGACTGTGGCCCTCCAGGACCAGGATTGGACACCCCTGATCTAGACTGACATGGTCACTGTCAGAAAGTACGGTGCCTATGACTTTTATAAAATGCAGTTCTCAAATGCATATGAAGTGCAGTTGACCTTTTGATGTGGAAAACCCAGAAATACTATGGATAGATATCATAAGAGGAATTTTTATCTTAAATAATTCATCATGATTTAACTCTGTTCTCCCCGTGCAGCGTGGGTTCTCTCCGGGTTCTCCAGCTTCCTCCCACAGTCCAAAAACATGTTGAGGTTAATTTGGTGATTCTAAATTGTCCGTAGGTGTGAATGTGAGTGTGCTTGGTTGTCTGTCTCTAAGTGTAGCCCTGTGATAGACTGGTGACCTGTCCAGGGTGTCCCCTGCCTTCACCTGGGATAGACTCCAGCCCCCCATGACCCTAGTGAGGATTAAGCAGTGTATAGATAATGGATGGAAGGTTAGATGGATAGATGGGTTTAACTCTGGTGCTGGTGATGTCTCCTTGTTACCGCCCCACCAGTTGATGAAAACATGCAGTGCAGATGTGACACCTGCCTTTCTGCTCCTTCCAGCCTCTCTGGGTGACGTGTCCCGCTGCGTTACAAGTTTCACTAACATGGCTGAAGTGGACTCCTACTTGTCCCTGAACGTCAGCTCCTCCCTGTGCCTCACCGCCAGGGTGCTGCAGGCCTTTCCACAGCGTCCAGGTCTGCGTCGCACCGTGGTTAATGTCACTTCACTGTGTGCCCTGCAACCTTTCCGCTCCTGGGTGCTGTACTGCACTGGTAAGGCCGCCCGAGAGATGATGTTCAAGGTGCTGGCAGAAGAGGAGCCAGACATCCGGGTGCTCAACTACTCTCCAGGTGGGGAACAGAGTGTTGGTGCTACTTATATTGAATCTGGGTCAGAGGAGCTAAAACTTGTGCCTAAAGGAGCAGTGATATTGGTTTTGCGTTGACCAGTAATGCCAGTTTTTACATTAGTAGCATTATTTCATATTTTTTGCACCTAAAAGTTGTTGCTACCTTTTTGAAATCATAGCAGCCTGACGCACAAAAGGGAATTAGCTGGAAAAATGCTTTCAAAAGCTTCTGAAAGTTGACTATGTGAGTATGGAGGGCATAAAGAGCCATGCATAAGGTCACAGATACTCTTATAAGTAAATCTTACTGTGGTTCAGTTAAACAATTTTTTAATTAGACAAAAACAAATAGTTATCAAATAAAAAGTTACTAGTTACATTAATTAGAAAATATGCATGAATAAAAGCTATAAAGAGGTTGCTGGTCACTCAAAATGTATTTTGCAAATGAAATAGAATTAGTAACACTTTTCTCTTTCAGACTGAAGCTGCATATATAGATGGTTTGTTTTGTTTTGCATTTTTCATTTCTATCAGAAACTCCTAAACATACAAACACTGCAGCCATAGTTATCTTTTTGTCTGCTCTCTATATTGAACCAGGCCCTCTGGACACAGCCATGCAAGTGGAGGCCAGAACGAACACAGCTGATCCCAGCATCAGGAAGTCTTTTGTCGACATGTTTGATCAGGGCCAGCTGCTCACCTGTGAGGCGTCCTGTGCCAAGCTGATGAAACTGCTGCTGGAGGACAACTACACATCAGGAGCTCACATTGACGTCTATGATGTGTAGACTATGTGTGGGCTCTGTTAAAGAAATGTACCCGTAGTCCTCATGTGAAGTTTGCTGTAGTGGGTGTTTATCGGTATTCCGGTATACAGTGGGCTTACCAACACAGAGCCTGAGTCTGTGATGGTAAACCGACCCAGAACATCTGCAGTGTCACACATTTTATAATACCCTATAAAATGTGTGACACTGCAGATGTTCTGGGGGTCAGTGGGTAGGGAGGGCCTGTATGTTAATACAGACGCGAATGGTGGTTAGTTAGTATACCTTTGCTGATCAAATGACAGGAGGTTAGAGGACAATGAACAACAGGTTGTGGAATCGGGGGTCTGTGACAGGAGGTAGGGGAACACATGACAACCGGGGGTGGAATCAAAGGCCTGGTGACTATCAAAAGAAAAGAGAATGACTTTGTTCATCATCAAAAGAATAACTTTCTTCATCAGCTCTATCCGACATCTAGCTTTGAGTATACATTTACAATAAAAGTGAAAAGCTTGCTGTAGAACTTTTAATATTGATAGATAACGCAAACACGAAGAGCACTTTTAATTCCAACAATACTGATCCTTTATCCCAAGCTGTTACATATGATGTGTAACTAATCAGGTATGCTGACTATGCAGCATATGCACTGTGAAAGTACTCACTTTGTACTGCAGTGGACATTGGAGGCCACAGAGTTGTGACTACAAGTAGAAAGAGGTGGATGCATCAGAGTCAAAGTTGCACATTTACATTCATTTAAATCTGGGATTAGTTTCAACAAACAAGATGAGTTATTGGCCAAAACAATAATTGATTCCTCTTAAACATTCCTCAATTAAAGTTTACTCATTGTATGGCCAGGGCCAAACTGGGATAATAATGTGAATCTAGCATTATCTCAGGCCGATATCCGTACAGTCACCACATGCACAATGGACTGTTTATAAAGATAGATGATGCATCAACACTTCCTCTCACTGTACAAAAATGGGAAATACCAGAAAACGCATTTAAGAAAATTGTATTTTAGGTGAACTTAGATTTTCTTTTCAAAATTTGGCCCATGTCCCATCTGCAGACATGGAGGGGCCAGGGTTTATGTTCTACAAACTGTTTATAAAAAATGGATGTAGCTGGCTTGTCTAAAAAGTGAAGGAAATATAAACCTGCATTCTTTTTAACAGCCAGCAGGGAGCAGCTCCTTCAGGTGCAAAAAGAAGTCAGAATGTATGTAAGTCTCTGAGAAAATTGTCCTACTTCTCACTTAATTTTTTACCTTAATAACCCTTTAAAAAAAAAAATTCCGGTCTCAGGTGTTAGTTTCAAGACCTTTTGAATAGAGCATGATGTTCACTTTGTCCATGATGGTCCCATTTAGAGTGAAATAAACAATTAAACAGGGTATGTTTTAGGGAAGGTCCTAAAAAGAACTTGTCTTCAAGTTCTGGCCTAGCTCCATCCCTCGTCTATTACCTTATTCCAAACTCAAGGCTTCAAAAAAGTAGTCCACAAAGCAATGGCTGATTCAATGTCGCTACGTCCATCTTTAATATACAGTCTGTGTTTTATTGCAACCAGCCAGTTGTCCCTCTGTCACGACTGTACAGATTCTGATTTCAAATGATATCACCACCACAAGATGGAAGCACCCAGAAGTGACCCTGGTTATGTTTGGGTCACGTCTGAGGGATAGACTCCAGCCCCCCACAACCCAAGTGAGGATTAAGCGGTGTATAGATAATCAATGGATATAACCATACAGACCTCTCTTTCCAATGTAGCATGACCAAGTGTTGGTGCCGTTAATCCCTTTTTAAATATAGAATTAACAGGAGAAGGGTATTTGTGATATTTTAACATCCCACGGGCACTAATGCTAGCATTTCATTTGATTAAGTGTGCCCCTTTCTTATGAACATCTCTGAAACAGCATTTCGTTTCCTTGTCCTGCAGCTGCAAAAGCCTGTAAAAGGTCTTCTTCGAGCTACAGACAGGAAGTAGAGGGAGAGAAAAAGTGTGAGGCATGCAGCAAAGACCCCAGGCAAGAAACATTACCACTAGACTGCCATGAACAGTGAAGGCTTGTATGAGATATCAAAACTGTAAAACAGAAACTAGAATATAAGTTCTAAAATGTAGATTAAAAAAAACTAAACCTGTAAACAAGAAACCAGAAGCAAACCAAATAAAGATTATATTGTAAACCAAAACTAAGAAATTAGTCTTCTCAGCAGACTTTCGTGGCCAAGAAAAGTAGTAGCAGACTTTGACTTTAAAGGCAGATATGTAGGCACTTCCTTTCACTTTAGCTCTATTCAGGACTTCCTGCTGTGTTTGTGCATCATCAAAGGAACGTATGTACAAATCATAGCACCTCCAAAGTCCAGCTTTACATGATGAATTAGAAAGGTGTGGATGATGGTGAGTTTCTTCCTACAATCTCTCCACATAACAGTTATAAGTTTTAAACACTGTTTGTCTTGTGGACTTAAGTGGATGGTAAAACTGATGCCATGTGTACCGTTGGTGACACATGGATATGGAAACCATGAATTGGCCTTAATAGCAGCAACTACCTGCCGTTGTATGTCTCAGGAAGGATACAATCGAAGCTTTACGCTTTCTCTGTGTTTACATGTTCAGGTGATGTCCTTTGATATTTTAGTTGTTGTATCCTGAGCCTTTCATTTCTTTGTGATATCTGGTAATTAGAGGAAGTGTTCTATGAATATTTAGATGAGTAAACAGTGATTGATACTACTACTTCTAATCCTGACCATTTCAGTATGGAATGGAAAAATGTTCCACATCGTCTGTTACACTCAGATACTTTTTCTCACACATTCCTCAATATTTGGTTTAATAATTTTATGTAAATGTTTAATAAGAGTCGTGGCTTTGTATGTGCTTACCTCAGGCTAATATCCAAATCAGTTTTGTAAACGTGATGCTGCCTATATATTACAGAAATAAATAAATGAGAACAACACTGTGTATATTATTTGTTTCTTCTTTGCCTATTTTTAATGTTGATCACATAATGGTCCCACTTTATAACAAAATACCAACAGAAATACTTTTCTATGCAGTTTTTTTCATACTTCCAGAAAACCTATAGTAAATCTATGAAAAAAAAACAAAATGCATAATTGCTTTTTGTAATAAAAATGCATGTTTTCATGATTCCATCATAGAAAATTCTGAATTGTAGGAGTCACTAGAAACTCAAGACTGCCAGGACATACATGGTCTTTACAAATGTATATTAACTCTTGTTCATGACTTTATATGAATGTGTATTTACATATAATCTGAGTAACTTCTTAGGTATCAATAAAATTTGTAGGATTCTTGAAATCCATAAACATCCACAGCAAATGTACATCAATCTGATCAGTCGTTTAGATGTTTGACAGATATTCAACCACGGCAAAAAGTAATAATAAATAAAAAATTCATGAAAATCATGACATTGCTTTTGACTTGTGGTTCAACAGAAATATTAAAAACAAACAAACAAACAAGCATGATGGAACCCGTAAAGTAATGCTTTGTTGAACAGCCCTTTGAGCCAATAACTGCAATCAAGTGTTTTCTGTAACTCTCAATCAGACTTCTGCACCTGTTGACAGGTATTTGGACCCACTCGTCAAATACTCATTAGCAAAGTGCTCTAATTTGTCCAGGACAGTTTTTTTGTCTTTTTAAAATCATTCTTTTCAACAACAATTCTATTTTTATTTATTATTACTTTTTTTGAGTGACTAATGTGAATTTTGCCTTTTCTTTAATGGAAGAGTACATTTGAGGACGACTGTACCTTCACTGTACTTGTAAAGATAGAGCACAGAGAGTGTGTTTTTGCAGCTCTGTTTCCTGTCATGTGTCTTTGACAGACAGTCACAGCTGCCCTGGACCAAAATACCTCTGCAGGAACCAACCCAAACAAGGGGACGACACCCACTATGACATCCTTAGACTACCTCTTACCTCTGCACCGCCCCTTTCTCTCCCCCAGCCCTCTCTCCTCTCCCACTGTACACCACCTTCCCACTCTGGGGAGGTGGTACAACCCCTAGAGGGGGCGAATTTATTTTTGGCTGTTGCAGGGGTCGGGCTAAGGCAAGAGGGGCAAGTGCTCCTGAATGCTGGTGAGATTTTTTTGAGAACCCTCCACTCTCTCAGCCCGTCCCACCCTCAGCCGCTTTCTTCTTCTTCTCTGTCTCCTGTGTTTTGTTCAGCCATTACAATGACTGTAGGGAGAATGGACAGTGCTGTGCTGTTTGATGCTGGGAAGAAAGGTCGAGGCCTGAGGGCCACCAAAGAGCTCAACACTGGGGATGTGATCTTCGCAGAGCCCAGTTTCTCTGCTGTGGTCTTCGACAGGTAAGAGTCCTCTGGTTGTTGTAGTTTTTTAACTAGATAGACAGGTAGAAGGACTGATCTGTTCTCATTGAGCTGACTTTTGTAGGCCTCACCGCCACCAGTGTGTTAAGGACAGGAGGACTGTGACCTCATTTCCAGATTCCCAAATTCTCATGATGTCAGCATTGAGAAAGCTGTCAAGGTGTCATGTGAACTTGAGCATGACATACTTCTGGATTCAGTTTTCAAATGCACGGAGGCTTACCAAAGGGATGATTGCAATAGCACTGATTCTTGCAAGCTTTCAGATTAATTTCTCATTAGTATCACTTGACCTCACATGTGGTCACATTTACACATCACACTTGAAACAGATGGTAAAGCTATGTTTAAAGTTTTGTGGGTGTAGCACCTTTTAACCAAAACAATATTTTATATGTGGAATAAAAACTCACAATCAGTAGCAATTTGTTTCAGCTATGTCGGAAATCTGAACACTGATTCTGTGTTTAGCTTTGACTCTGAAAACAGATCTGTCTCAGATAGTTTGAGAGGTTAAGATGCTTCATAATACAGCATCAAAGTCAGATGTGGGTTACTTAGCAGGTCATGGTGAGGACTGGAACAGGAAAGTTTTAAACAAGTCACAGCTTCCTGATTTGAAAGATTTAATGCAAATGTTCAAAACTACAGCAGTGTTTCTGTTGATTTGTGATCTTTAATATTAGGAAATCAAAAAGAACATTGATTTTACATGTTCTTTCTTTGCCACCAAAACTAATTACTGTTTGATTATTGTGTAAAGTAATACACTTCTCTTGTGGGTTATCTGTGGAGCTGGAGTTGGAGCAACTTGGCTGATAATAAACACTGGAGGAGGGTCACAGCAGTCTGGCTCCAAAGTCCAGAAGTATACAAACACAGTGTGAAAATGACCCACTGTGGTTATGGAAAGTTACATAAAGCTGTTTCCCTGCTTCCAGTGTTTACAGTGTGCTAAGCTTAGCTTAGCTACTACAGGCTTTACCTTCATATTTACTACACAGACACAAATTACATTAATCTATTCAACCTATTCTTTGCAAAATAAGAGATGTACTTTCCAAAAGTGTTCACTTGTCCCTTTAACTGGAGGAAAGTGGTGATTTATTCATTACACTTACTGAGCAACTGCATTTCTGGTGACATTCTTATATCTGTGTATCATCTGGAAAGTCCAATCATTATTTTGAGCTAAGAAAATTCTGATGATGTTGGACAGAAGAGGCCCAAGAGTGGAGTCTTGAGGAACTATTGTTGTTGTCTGCTCAGATGTGTAATTTCCAGTCAACACAGTATTTTAGTGGTAGCTTAACAATTTCTATGGCTTGGATTAGGATGCTATATCATGCTGTATAATTGTAACTAGCATGTGACTTATCCTAATTCTATTCATGTAAGATGCTCCAACATTTAACATGATCTAATGCTCATTTTATCCTCTCATATGTACCATTTCACTAAAGGCATTGCAACTTTTTACAGCAGTGCACATGATGTTCTGGCCTTTTCTCTAAATAGTTGTTGTGTGGATGTTAAAGCTGGGTGTAGCCTGGTTATATGCTCAAATGCCAGACACAGATCTGGTAGCATAGTGTCAGAGCCTTATAAGAGCGAGGAGCTCCAGAATGTTGGCTCACCGAATGGGTCCAACACAGCAGGCATGCACCAAGAGGATCTGCCCAATGTCAGCCAGGAGCTGTCCAAAACTACAGAGAGAGAAGAGCTTCAAGTGACACAGGACTAATGTGTTTGAGTTTTAAGCTGTTGATTCCAACACACATTAGTGGCATTAACAAGTCTGTTTACTATCCTACCAGACAGGCTGAACTCACTGAATAAACTGTTTACAACTAGAGTCACCCTGCTGTCTGCTGATACTTGTGGGTTCAACCACACAATGCAAGTTTGTGTTTGAAGTCAGCATCCAAACAGTAGCCCAAGGCTGACAAATAGGTTCTGTGCAATCACATTGGCAAATCTGGGTTTACTGACAGAAGAAAATGTCTGTGAAGTTTATGTTATGTGTTATGGTGGCATTTATCAGAATCAGGAAAAGTAAAACCTTTCTGGCGGTCGTTGAACGTATTGTGTGTAATACTGTAAAAACATCAAATTTGTAGAGGTTGTAAAAATGTAGAATGGGCCTGTAAATAATCTAACATGGAGAACCTTCTTTTTTCACCATTAATGACACAAGTGGGCACTTGTGGAAAAAAAATGTTCATACTGATTCCAAGTTTGTTTGTGTTTTTCATTTTTGTTAAAATAATTATCAAAGAAAGTCCACATTGTTGTTTTCTCTTTTATATATAATTTATGGCATTCTAACTTTGTCATACTGCCCAAAAGACATTTTTGAGTTTACTACCACGCTGAAATCCAAACCACCCCCTACACATGAACCCTATGCACTACCCCTCTGTTTGCGCGTTTGCACATATTCAGGGCTGTCCCAAACCGACTGCTATGTGAGTGCAAGTGGAAAGACAAACCCTTAAATAGCGAGTCTGCATTGGTGCAGGGTCATGGCAGTTTTGGAAGGAGGTGGGTGTGCATCACAGGCATGGAGGAAACAACATAGTGGGAGAGTTCTGTCTTAGTACACTGTCAAGTATTTCAGATCAAACACTCACCCTTGTTTTCCTCACTGACTTTTTGTT